AAGATACGTGCTGGCTAAATATAGAGCTTGAAAATTGCATGTAATTTTACACAGGAACGATGGGGCGTGAAGTGCTTGAGCAGTGTCGTCAGAGAGTAAGTTGGCGTCGAGGAGGTGTACGATCACTAAGTGTTTCTGTTATGGAATTGGTGGGTGCGGGTTTGAACGGTTCCGGGGATTGGTCACTGTTTTAAATAAGCTTAGGTGTCCGATAGTGATTGATAAACAAGTGTTCGCAACTATGGTGTAATAAGATCATTCTTCGTGCGAAGCAGTTGGCAGAAAGACGGACACAACGGATTGTATTCGCGGAAGGCTACAATCGAACGAAAAACGAATGAAGCGACGAGAGCGTACGTCAGTGCCGGAACTCACCGTGGAGAAAAGTGGTGAGCCGGATGCAGTTCATAATGGCCGTAGAGTCGGCATTAAAACAAAAATCAATATTCTATGACTGAGTAATAAAAGTGTACATAAAACAAGAAATATCTTTTGGGTTGCTACAGAGCTCCCCTCCTAGAAGGCTGAACGAAGAAGCCTTCGAAATCAAGTGGTTGTGGATCCAAGTTCGCAAAAGGTTCTGGTATACAAAGAAGTGTCTGCTCGGGTTCGGAAAAAAATGTAGCCGAAAATTTGTATCCGCTGTGCCGTCCGGTCTTTATTATTTATTGATTGCAGGGCAGGGTGCATTTCGGCGAGCCGTTGGAGCGGGCTTGTCGGACTACAAAAAACTGGCTAGTCCAGAAAAAGGCCGACAGGACCTCAACCTCCGCTGCTGCCAAACGGTGCGCTTGGGAGTGGTCTCTCCCCCCGCCGCACCCCGCCCCGCGCCAAAACGACCCTCGTCCCACGAAGAAACGACCATGGTCCCACGGAGAAGCGACCCTCGTCCCGCGAGAAGCGACCCTCGTCCCGCGAAGAAGCGACATTCGTCCCGCGGAGAAACGACCAGTGTTCGCGTCAGGGTCCTCGAAAACATTCCTCGTGTGGGCCAGTCGATCGAAGGGGAGGGTTGGGGCATGTAAAGACGAGAAAATAGAAAAACACGCGCAGAAAACGCCAAAAAGAACAAACGAATGATCTGCGTGTTTAAATATTTTTTGGTTTTTGAATATTTTTTCGAAAAAGGTTTTGCGGAGGTTTTTGATATTTTTGTTTGTTTTCAAAACGTTAATCGACCAAAAATGGGGCAAATATATACAATATCTACAAAGTTAAAAGTATTTACACTGTACATAGTCGGAGAAACGAACGGGCTTACGTACCTCCCGACCACGGCGATTGGTCGTGGGAGGCGGCGGACTAGGTTCGGGAGATGTCGGGACGGCTGAAGCTTGTAGACCGTGATCGTGGTCTGGTTGGACTTCATTAGCATGCGGAAAACTGGTACGGTGAGTTGTGACGTCGCACGAAGCACTACTAGACGAAGTAGGCGAGGTAGTTTCTTCCATAAAGGCGGGTTTTAGACGGTCGATGGTGACGACTTCGTGTCGACCACCGCGGTCAATAGTGTACGCCTTACTCGCACGATGCAGCACCTTGAAGGGTCCTATGTACGGCGACTGAAGAGGCTGTCGAACACCGTCTGCGCGAAGAAGGACGTGTGAACACGTAGACAGCTTCTCGGGCACGTACACTGGTGTCTTCTGCGATCGAGGAGCGGGTGGACGTAGCTCACGCATCTGGTGAGCCAATCGATCAGTGTAACTTCCGTAGTCAAAAGTGGAAGTACATGGGGCTGGTGCTACCAGCTGTCCGGGCAACCGCAGCGTGCAACCGTAGACTAGCTGCGCTGGTGTGGCGTCGAAATCGGTTTTAACCGTGTTTCTTAAGCCTAGGAGAACGAGGGGAAGCGTTTCAGACCATGAAGGATCTGCGTGCGCACGTAGCGCTGCCTTCAACTGGCGGTGAAAACGCTCCACCATGCCGTTAGCGGCCGGATGATACGCCGTCGTCTGGACGTGGCGACAGCCTAAATCCTTAAGCAACATGGCAAATGTCGACGAGAAATGTGACCCTCGATCGGTGGTCACGATGGCGGGACAGCCGTATTGAGCTACCCAGCGCTCCATAAAAGCTTTCGCTACCGTTTCCGAGGAGCAATTTGGGATAGGGACGGCCTCAGGCCATCTAGTAAATCGATCGATGCAGGTCAGTAGATATACAGAGCCTTTGGAAGGCGGCAGAGGACCTACGAGGTCGACGTGCACGTGATGAAAACGTGCGTCTGGCGTCGGAAAAGTGCCTAATGGGCTTCTCGTGTGCTTGTGCACCTTCGCGCGTTGACACGGAAGGCAAGCAGCTGCCCAAGTACGGACGTCCCGATTAACATTGCGCCAAACGAATCGTGCGGTTACGAGTTTAACCGATGCACGAACGCCTGGATGAGACAAGCCGTGCAACGCGTCGAACACGGTCTGCCGAAACTCGCGTGGGACGACTGGGCGCGGCGTGCCCAGAGATAAATCGCAGAGTATCGTTCCGTCTGATGATGTCAGCGGAACGGGTCGTATATCCAATGAGGGAGACCTGCGTAGTAGATCAAGCTCAGGATCGTTGAGTTGTGCTGTGGCCATGGCTGCCAAGTCGATAGCAGTGCCGGCGTCAGCGGAGATAGCTTGGATGCGAGAAAGTGCATCGGCGACGGCGTTGTGCACACCTGAGACATGCCGTATATCGGTCGTAAACTGAGCGATATAGTCAAGGTGGCGCGACTCTCTAGGAGAGTATCGGTCGGTAGTCGAGCCGAGCACGTAAGTCAGGGGTTTGTGGTCGGTGAAGACGACAAAGGAGCGGCCTTCTAGGATGTGTCGAAAGTGACGTATCGCTAGATATACGGCTAGTAGTTCTCTACCGAACGTGCTGTAGCGAGATTCGGTAGGTTGTAGGCGTTTGGAGAAAAACGCTAAGGGCTGCCACGTGTCGGCTACTCGTTGCTGCAAAACAGCGCCGACTGCCACGTCCGAGGCGTCAGTACTGAGGGACAGTGGGGCGGCCGGATCGTGATGCGCTATAGAAGCTATGTTGGCGATAGCCTCTTTCAGCGACTTAAAAGCAGCGCGTGCTGCGGCAGGAAATTCGAATTTCTTGAGTTTCCCTCGGAGAAGGTCCGTGAGGGGTTGCATCAGCGAGGCGCAGTTGGGTATAAATCGTCGGTAAAAGTTGACAAGGCCATCAAAACGCCTGAGCTGTTTGAAAGAATGAGGCTCGGGGTAGTCGATGATGGCTTGAATTTTATCCTGCAGTGGCACGACGCCTGCAGAAGAGATACGATGGCCTAGGAAATTGACTGAATCGACACCAAACGAACACTTTTCTGCGTTGATCGTCACCCCGTGTTGAGATAAACGATCAAAAAGTGTTCGTACGTGGCGTATGTGCTCTTCTCGTGAAGAGCTTGCGATTAAAATGTCGTCGAGATACGCGTAAGCGAAGTCTAAACCGCGACAAACTTGGTCGATGAAGCGCTGAAAAGTTTGCGCGGCGTTCTTTAGGCCAAATGGCATGCGCAGAAACTCGAACAAACCAAATGGAGTCGTCACGGCAGTTTTAGCGATGTCCGCTTCGGCTACCGGAATTTGGTTGTATGCGCGTACCAAGTCGATTTTGCTGAAGATACTTTTACCCGCCAGACTGGCGGTGAGATCCACTATGTGTGGGATCGGATAGCGATCGGGCGTGGTCACCGTATTCAAGGATCGGTAGTCGCCGCAAGGACGCCAGTCCCCCATGACCTTCTTCGGGACCATGTGCAGAGGCGACGCCCATGGGCTGTTGGACGGTCTGACGATACCAAGTTGAAGCATGTGGTCAAATTCGGCTCGTGCTGCCCGTAGTTTGTCTGGAGCAAGCCGTCTTGGTCGTGCGCTAACTGGTTGACCGCGCGTAACTATGTGGTGAGCGACCTCTGTCGTGACTGGTGGAAGCTCTGCAGCCGGTCGAACCAGTCGCGGGTGTTCGGAGAGGAGGCTCAAGTAGTCGGACGGTGCGTCTGCGATCCGAAATACAGGGCTGATTATCGGGGCATCTGAAAGGACACCATCAACCCCTAGTTTCGTATGATCATCTAAAATTCTGTTGCGACCCGCGTCGACAAGCAATCCGAAATGGCGAAGAAAATCGATGCCGATAATTGCGAAAGGTACTGACGCAACCGTGAAAACCCAGTGAAAGTCTCTGCGGAGATTTAAATCTAGGTTCATCATGCGCTGACCGTATGAAGCTATCGGTGAGCCGTTGGCTGCCCGTAGATTGTACGTGGGCTTCGTATGCTTGTCATGCGCGCTGGCAGGGATAACGCTCACTTCGGCTCCTGTGTCGATAAGGAAAGTGAGGCGGGAGCGCCTATCCTTGACGTAAAACAGACGGCCTGTTTTGTCGCTGCCGGACGCGTGGGCCGCATTCACGTGCCGGCGAACTAGTTTCCTGTGCCACTACACCACGCTTGGCGCAGGGTGAACGGCAACGTCGAGCGTTATCACCATACTGGCGATGATACCAACACAAATCATCCATTAAATTGGCACTTCGGGTTCGGCTGCGAGGGGGTGATGGACTGCGTCTGCGCGGTGACCTGGATCTGTACGGTGGGGGTCGGGGCTGATAGGCACCGTGACGAACGGCGGCAATTTCGTGGTCAGCGTGCGGTCTTAGTAAGCCTTGTCTTTCTAACTGCACGGTTGCTAATTCACGGCGAAGCGCGGCTATCTCCTCGTCTCTGGGGTCTGCTTGCGCGGGCGCTTTTGCATTCAAGTCTTTATCCGCTAACGTGGCGAAAATGCTGCTGGATGCCTTCATGTGTTGAGGGATTCTCTCAAAGGCTGCGTCCGCGGTTATTGCCAACTCTTTGAGTGATCTATTTGGATAAGCTACGAGCATTAAAGGAAGAGGATCAGGTAGGCGTGAGAGCCACAGTTCTTTTAATGCTTCTTCACTCATGTACGAAGGGCCAGCAATCTGCTGAATATCGCGGAGCAAAACCGAAGGCTTGCGATCGCCTAGCTTAGTGCTATGAAAGAGTTGCTCCAATCGAGCACGAGCGCTGGGTTGCGACTCCTTTAGGATCAACTGCTTCATTGCTTCGTATTTACCGTCTTTAGGTGGATGAAGCAGTACGTCTTCAACCAGTGTCACCACCTGTTGCGGAAGGCGTGGGACGAGTTGGTTGTATTTAGCTTGGTCGGCAGAGATCCCTCGGTTCTCTAACTCTATCTCAAAAATGGCAAACCAGACGTTGGGCTTGTGTGCCATAAAATCCGGAACAGCCAAGGTGAGCAAATTCATGCTGCCGCCCGATCCGGGTTTTACATCGGCGTCAGACATAGTATATGAATAACACGAATGGTTTTAAAAACGAAATGGACGGAAAATAATCCACCAGGGATTAGGGAAAAACAACTCGGAACGAACTCACCGAAAACGAAACGATCAAAAAATTTGAAGATTCGCGCGTGCGAATCGGGGTCACCAATTTGTAGGACTAGTCTATACTAGTCCGAGAGTGTTCTCGCTCTGGTAGGGATGCCAGAAAACCAGAAAGACGGACACAACGGATTGTATTCGCGGAAGGCTACAATCGAACGAAAAACGA